CTAAGATATCCGCGTAGTGACGGACCCTCCCCTCTTACTAAGTCGGCCCAACACGGGGGATTTCGGTTCTATCCGTATCCCCGCACTCAATTTCCCAAAAATCCTTGGCACACCCCATCCCCCCCCCCCCCCCCCTCCCCCTTCCGCAATCGAAAACACTCCGAACGGAAGATAGCGCAGGGCGTGAGGTTGCGCGTCACAGACTAGGATTACCAGCATCGACAACTATCATCAACTTATCCGAGCTCAATCAGCCCAACATGATAGTTCAATAATTGACGAGAGATTACTACTGAATTAAATGTCAAGAGAGCTAATGAGCCGATAGAATTCTAGACTTTTGAGACCATATCATTATTTTCCTTTCTGACTCTTTCACCATTCTCACCAGAAAAAACTGTGCCCTGTAGCAGACCACAGCTGCGTGCTGAAACTCGCAGTACGAACGGACTTGGCTTTCAACCGGCCACATAACAGGTTCTTGAAGAGGACAGCAGAATGCCCCAACAGCTCCGAAGTATGGCAAAAAAGATTAGGAATAAAAGATCAAACACACTCCAAAATCTCCTCTCTTTTCTTACCCCCTCAACCTCCCCTTAAGGAAAACAAACAACCATGAGATTCACAGCAGTGGTTAAACCGCTACCGTTTTCACCTGAATAGAATGCCCAGTCATTATAGCTGCATTTGGCCCAACGTTCTATCTAGATGCAGCAATAATGACCGAGCGTTCTATTCGGGTGAAGACGGTAGTACACGGCCCCAGCCTTGCTGAAAAAGAAACTCGGCGCCTGCGAGATGCCATCCGGAAAAGACGGAGCAGGCGCACCGTCGATAAAAAAAATCAGTGGCCTGCGTCGCTTTTCGGATTCTGACAGGCACCCGCGGCTGATAGCTGGATGTACTTGCTTTCAGGCATTGGGTTGTTGAGCCACGGAACGCCGGTTCAATTCCTTACAGGACCGACCAGAAAAAGTAGGAATACAAATGAGACAATCCGCTAAAATTGTAACAATACAGAGAAGATTAGCATGGCCCCTGCGCAAGGATGACACGCATAAATCGAGAAATGGTCCAAATTTTTTCCTCTCTTGTTGCATACTGTAACGTGCAGACCAGAACAAGAACCGACCTTTCAATACAAAGTACAAGATAACACAGCGGAAGACTTAGATACCAGTGATCCGAACAATCAATGTGGTAATGCAGCCCTGAACATACATCATCATCATCGTTTCATAGTGTGAATGGGTCTGGCGCTTCACACAGGAAGACAGCGCCAGCCCAGAACATGCACAGACGAGGAGGAAGGGGATAGACGAAGAGGAGGGGGAAGATGGGAATGTCGTCAACACCAAGTCTTCGGCACAAGCCCAAATAGTCCCTCGTCGGAATGTCTGAATCCCAAATGTCAAGTCTGGATCCAATGTCGTCAAGTCTCAAGTCACAACTCTGTCTCTCTCTCTGTCGTAGTCTGAGAAGTCAGGTGACGAGAGGGTGAGAAGAGAAGGTGGACTTAGAAGAGGAAGAAGAACAACTCTCTCTCTCTCTGTGTGTCCAGTACTAACCTGTGAAGTTGGCGCCTTGATGCAGGTACCACGAAGATGGAGCTGGAGCGATGGCGCCACAGGTAAGTAACACTGGCCTCCGCCAGTCTCTCTCCCACTCTACGATCTACTACCTACCAGCGCCCAACGCTGAAGACTACAGCTACAGCTATGGCGCCTAGTGTCGAAGACTACAGCTAGCGCTACCACTACTGCCTAGCGCTGAAGACTACTGCAGCGCTCCTCCTGAGTGCTGCGGCCGAATCCTGAAGACTATTCGTGCCTACTGAACACTACCTACCCGTGAAGTGCATGGGAACCTCCTATGTACTACGGGTGTGCCTCTTGAGCCTGCCGAAGGGAGGCAGGGGCTGCAGCTGCAGCTCCTGCTCGAGCACGTGAGGAACAGGCTATTTTGGGCCTGTTCCGCATCCCTGTTTCCGTGCCTGAGTCTTAGGGGCAGGTCGAAACAATGAGGGCCTGAAAATGGCCCTCCGTTTCAGGCTGAAAACTCTGGGTCTGAAAAGACCCAGAAATAGGCTGAAACGAGGTAGGGCCTGCAGGCCCTCGTTTTTCAGCATCCAGGCTGAAATGAACGGGGCCTGTAAGCCCTAAGTTTTAGGCTTTTAGGCTGAATGTCCGGGACGGGCCCTGCAGGGCCCGTGTGGCTACGCAGTATGCCACATCTCTTCTCTCCGGGTCTGGTGGCCTTTTAAAAAAAAAAAAAAAAAAAAAGAAGAGACAATCACGAGATTGGCAGTAACAGTACCATCCTTAAAGGTAACCAGCTTTTTCCTAAAACAAAGTCCCACTCCATCTATAGCCAGTACATCCCCAATCATCCCCACCCCCTCACCCCTTAACAGGTGTTGTCACGCGGGGATCCCTATGGGCAAAGGCTGCATAGCGAGGGTTCGGGTGTCAACCCCTGCACGGGCGTGGAGTACGTGCATGCAGTGTAAGGGACAGAGATGGGAGGGAGTAGAAATTTAATCAGTCACAAATTCTTTTATCTGTTCCCTGCAGTCCACGTGCTGGGGAACCGTTTTTTTGTAGGGCCCTCCGTCAGGGCAGACAAAGTTGCCCCGCTGGGCATCACGGCCCATGCACCCACTTCCGCCATTACACCCACCACCAATTTTTTTTTTTTTTGATTGACGATCGTACATAGAAACTTGCAGCACCTGCTGGAAATCGGGTCAAGCATCCCAATGCATCTCTTGGGAATCAATCATCAAACACAGGGATGGTAAACTTTAAGGCGTCCTGCCACGTTTTGCATGATTGGGTCTGTTTGGTTTGAAATCAAGCCCACTTGGTGTTATTTGTCCCTGCAGTCCTCGTGTTGGGGAACCGTTTTTTTGTAGGGCTCTCTGTCAGGGCAGAAAAAGTGGCCCCACTGGGCATCACGGCCCATGCACCCATCACCCTGGCACACACCACCGCATTAGCACCCACCACCTCCACCACCGCGTGGGGCTGCCCCTGGGCCTTCCCTAACCATATCCCTTCCCACCCCAGCGGGCACCACGGCCCCTGGGCCAACAACCTGCCGAGTGGCCCCCAAAGCATCACGCTGGGCCCTGTTCACAATGAGTGTCGCACCAATTTGAAAGAGGATTTACTGAGGAGA